TCTAGTCTCACATTGTCATTTAGGGGTGCGCAGGGGGTTTCCCCCGCTGAAATCGAGGGGCCTTTGCATTCAAGGAGCCTCGCGACCGTGATCCCAGTTTGCCTTGGCAGTGTAGCTTGTTGTCAGTAGGGGCGGGCAGGGAGTCGAATCGGGTTGAAGAAGAAGATCATCATCATCATCATCACCACCACCACCACCATCATCGTCGTCGTCGTCGTCATCGTCATCGCCATCATCAGCGGGGGTGCCCGCATGCTTCCGCCACATCCCGTAAGGCGTTTAGTGGCCCCATACAGAGCTCCACCTGCGGCCTCAGTTGGGGTGGCCACATGCGTCCGCCACACCCACTACAGCGTTTCGTGGCCCCACAGGGAGCTCCACGTAAGGCCCCAGTGGGGGTGGCCACATGCGCCCGCCACACCCAGTGCTGAGCTTCGTGGCCCCATAGGGAGCCCCACCTAAGGCCCCAGTGGGGGTGGCCACATGCGTCCGCCACACCAAGTACAGCGTTTCGTGGCCTTATAGGGAGCTCCACCTAAGACCTCAGTGGGGGTGGCCACGTGCGTCCGCCACACCCATGTCGGCACACCTCTCGCACGTTTCGTGGCCTTATAGCGAGCTCCACCTAAGGCCTCAGCGGGGGTGGCCACATCCGCCGGCCACACCCAGCACAGCGCTTTGTGGCCCCATAGAGGGTTCCACTGAAGGCCCCAGTGGGGGTGGCCACATGCGCCCGCCACACCCAGCACAGCGTTCCGTGGCCTTATAGGGAACTCCACCGAAGGCCCCAGTGGGGGTGTCCGCATGCGTCCGCCACACTCAGTAGAGCGGTTCGTGGCCCCATAGGGAGTTCCACCTGCGGCCCTAAGTGGGGGTGCCCGACACCCAGTACGCCCCTCACACGCTTCGTGGCCCCATGGGGGACTCCACTGAAGGCCCCTGCGGGTTCGCTTGGCGGCGTCGCCTCCATTGGATGATGATGCTGATGCTGTTGCTGCTGCTCATGATGATGATGCTGATGATGATGCTGGTGCTGATGATGTTGATGTTGCTGCTGATGATGATTATGCTGATGGTGATGATGATGTTGGTGATGATGATGATGATGACGATGACGATGACCATGACGATGATGATGATTATGGTGACGGTGGCCCCATAGGGAGCTCCACCGGCGGCTTCAATGGCTGCGTTCTCATGCGCCCACCAGGCCTATTTCGGCACTTCTCTCACGCGTTTCGTGGCCACATAGGGAGTTCCACCGATAGCCCCAGTGGCTGCTTTCGCATGCGCCCACAGGACAAATTGTTGCACACCCCTCACACGCTTCGTGGCCCTAGGGGGTCCCTCCGAATGCGGTGCATACAACGACGGTGCTCACAACTGCATATGGTTGGGTCCTTCGCCAGGCTATTTTTCTTCTTCCTCATCCTCATCCTCTTCCTCCTCCTCCTCCTCCTCCTCCTCCTCCTCCTCCTCCTCCTCCTCCCCCTCCCTGCCTCGTAACCTCGCCGCTCCCTGCGGGGCTGCGATCTGCGAAACTGTCGCCACTTTCCCGGGCTTCTGGGAGGGCCAGCGGAGGGGCATCCCGGAGGGATCACCACGAGACCTCGCCGTCCTTGGGGGGCTGCGATCTGCGAAATTGTCGCCACTTTCGTGGGCTCCTGGGAGTCCAGCGGAGGGGTGTGCCACGGGGATCACCACGATACCTCGCCGTCCCCTGGGGCGCTGCGATCTCCGAAATCGTCACCACTTTCGTGGGCTCCTGGGAGTCCAGCGGAGGGGTGTCGCACGGGAACCACCACGAGACTTCGCCGTCCCTTGGGGGCTGCGATCTGCGAAATTGTCACCACGTTCGTGGGCTCTTGGAAATCCAGCGGAGGGGTGTCCCACGGGGATCACAACGAGACCTCGCCGTCCCTGGGGGGCTGCGACCTGCGAAACTGTCGCCACTTTCGTGGGCCCCTGGGAGGTCCAGCGGAGGGGTGTCCGACGGGGACCACCACGACACCTCGCCGTCCCTGGGGGGCTGCGATCTGCGAAACAGTGTCCCCGCTTTCGTGGGCTCCTGGGAGTCCAGCGGAGGGGTGTCCCACGGGGACCACCATGAGACCTCGCCGTCCCTGGGGGGCTGTGATCTGTTAAATTGTCGCCACTTTCGTGGGCTCCAATGGCGGTAGCTCCCATAGCGCGCGCGGCGCTGTCCCGTCACATAGAGCGCGCGTTTGTTGATCGCAGATCGCAGCGGGATGGGGCGCCACGGAGCGCATGGCGCTGTCAAGTGCCCATGCCGCTTCGACTCTTCAGTTGCCTCTTGTTTGTAGTGTACTCGGTCACTTGCAGCGCTTAGCGCAAGGCGCGCGGCTCCCCCTCCTGTCTCGTTTTCCTATTCCTCCTGTTCGCCATCCTGCTTATCTACCGCCGCCTTCACCTCTCGAGTGCACAGCTCCGCTTTCGGATTGTGCGTCACACGATGTGGCCACTGGGGGTACCCAGGTCCGCCAGGACAGCCGTCGGGCGATCTGATAAAGAGCAACGCAATGGGGAAAATATGGGCGGGAGGGGCAGGATGTCAGGTATGGCGCTCGCACCCAGCTTTACCTCCACCCCCGGACCCTCTCCCCGCTCCCCGGCTGCTCCTCCGCCTCCTCCTCAGCCTCCTCATCCCCCCTTTCGCCCACCTCCGCCCTCCCCGCGTCGTCCAGAGGTTGCCCCCCCCCGTGCCCTGCCCCCTCCGGCCCCTGGAGGCTCCGGACCTCCCCGGCAGGGAGGACGTGCGCCTCTGCCCTCCGCAGCGGAGGGGGCGCGTTCTCCCGGCGTCGCGGCCACGCGCGCAGCGATGCGGCGGCTGCCGTCGATGGGGTCGGAGCGAGCCCGGCAGCGCCGCGGGGGCCGCGGCCGGGGCCGGGAGCCCACCCTGCTCGGCGAGGGGGGGCCGGACTCCCCCAGAGGGGGCCTCGCTGTGCTGGCGTCTGGCTCGGAAGACCGGCTGCGCTGGCGAAGGGCGCGAAGCGGGGCAGGCGTGAACTAGAAGGGAGTAAAAAGTGGCATGGACATAGGAAAGCTCGGAGGTCCGCGCGGATGTCTCGGATCGGCGCTGGGGCCCCCTCCCGGGCGCGCGGCGTGGCGACGGCCTCAAAAAATCAACGAATCGGCACCGAATGTGTAATCATTTCCGATGGTTTCTTCGGGAGTTTTTTTTTGTTGTTGTTTGAATTTTGGGGCCTACTTGGAAGGACCGAAAACCATGCCTTGGCATGACACTGGAAATGATGACGCCAGCGCTCGATTTGGAACGAGCGGAAGCGCGGAAATGGGACGAGAGCTGCAGGGGGAGCACGACTCGGAACGAGCGGTAGCCCGAAAATGAGGCCAGCGCTTCAGCGAGAGCAGCATTTGGGCCAAAAAACCAAGCGCAAATCCAACTCCCGGATATCCTGTTTAAAGAACAGTACGCGGAGGGGGGCCGAACAATCCCTGGACGCCACCAGGGGAAAGAGAGAGAAGAGTAGTATTCATATTGTTTAATTGTAAAGGGGGGGCCTGGCCGCTCAGAAGGGCGGGGTGCCCGGGGCGCGTGGCGTGGCCGTTGGCGGGGGGGGGGTCCAGCGGCAGCAGCGGAGCTGCGGGGCCAGCGGCGGCGCGGAGGAGGCTGACCAGGCCAGCGGGCGGAGGTGCGCGTGCGAACAGTCAGAGAAACCCCCTGACCCCAAGTGAGGGGACGGCGAGGCCCGCGGCCACTGGCCAAGGGCGTGGGGGGAGGCGCGGGCGGCCTAAGACCAGCCCGGGCGCCGAGGGCCTGAGGAGCGCGGCCAGTAGGCCGAAGGGGAACGTGCGCGCTCCGGACCCCCTGCGGGAACCGCGGGGGGGGGGGGCCGCACCAGGCGCGGGGCAGGCACCGAAGAGGTGCAGACACGAAGAGAGCGGGCCAAAGCCTGTCAGAAAGACAGGGAAGACACCAGGCTGGGGAAAGCAGCGGCTACAGAGGTTGGCGAGTGGGCTGGAGGGCCGCCTGTCGCTGCGAAGGAGGCGTGCCCACGACCCGAAGGGGACGTGGGGCGGGGGAAAGGGGGGCGGGCAGGCACCCGGATCGCGTACTGGCCGCGGTGGGCGGGGCAGCGACGGACAGCAGGCCACGGTCAGGGCGGGCGGCGGGGGAGGGCCAGGGGTGGTAAGACATGGGTTCCGCGGCTCAGCCAGAAAACCTAAAACGTAAGGCACCCCACTCGCCCCGCAGGTAATGCGGCGAGGCTCAACTAGAGCCGCCGCGAAAGGAAACTGCCTCAAGGGGCGGGCGCCCCCGCGCGCCGCCCCCTGGCCCAGGGGGCGGCGCGCGGGGGTGCGGCCCTGGCCAAGAAGGGCGGAAGCGAGGCCCCCAGCCTCAGGACGGGCGGGGGAGCGGGGGAGCGGGGGGCAGAGGGGCGCGCCCGCCGTGGCGGCGCCGCTGTGCAGACGGGCATGGCAGCCCGCCGGCCAGCGGGGGGCACTGATGCCACACGCGGAGCTGGAGGAGAGGGAGCAGCCCGGGTCTGGATGGACAAGCCGGGGCGGGTGGGCCGCAGAGAACGGCGGAGCGGCTGCCCTGGCCGAGCCAAGACTGTCCGGGGCCTGGCTCCTGGCCCTGGTGAGGGGCGGGGACGCGCGGGCACCGGCGAGAGCGGGGGGGGGGGGGGGCGCCCGCCACCGCCACGAAGCCCGGGGGAGCAGGGCGGGAGGGGGCGCCCGGAGGAGCACCGAGAACTGGTGCAGTCAGCAGCGTGCAGGGCAGGAGCAGCAGGTCCAGTCACGCGCCAAGAGGGGGGCCTCTTGCACGGGGCCCCGCGGGTCGGCCCGCCCTCGGGTGAGTGGGCGGCGGGACGCCGTGGCCAAGCAGGCGCCACAGAGACACCCCGGGGGGGGGGGGGGGGCAGAGGGCGCGAGGGCGAGCCTGTGAGCGGCGGCTGGGTAGGAGGGGAGGAGGGCAGCGGCGGCGCAGCGCCGGGAGCACCGAGGCTGACATCGCAGGGGGTCCGCCTGACCGTGCGGGACGGAGTATGCCCTGCACGGGCCGAGGTTGGAAGGCCAGGTGGTCGGGAGCGCTGGGTGCGGCTACCAGGGCGCCGCTGCCCGGATTGCTCGTCGCTGGGCCAGGTCGGGTCGGCGCGGCGCTTGCCTTTCCCTGCAGGATACGGCCCTTTGCCTTTGCCTTTGCCTTTGCCTTTGCTTTTCCCTTGATGACGCTCCATTCTCTGGATCTGCCTATCCCAGGCGTCGTACCAGTCGATGTGGAGGCCATGCTTCCGACATAGTTTGCGTATGTCGAAGTCCTCGTCGATCAGTTCGTAGACGAAATCCTGTCAGACTTGGTCCTGCCCTCCGGGTTGTTGATCTAACAAGTTTTTGTTGCAACATGGGCCCACGGAAATCTGGACCCCTTCCCTGGGACCGGATTCTCCTCCCGAGCTGATGTTCGACGGTCCCAGGACCTGGCGAGAGGGGCCAGGAGGCCGAAGCAATCAATCAATCAATCAATCAATCAAGGAATCAATCAATCAATCAATGTCAATCACACACACAAGCAGAAGACCACATTCCGTCGCGTGTCTCTGTTTAGTCGCATCGCTATAATGTCAGGTACACGCCCCGCCCGCGACCCACCCGCGACCCCATGCGGCCCGATGTTTGCATGGGCTTTGCTTTGCGCCCTGGCGCAGCCGATCCGATTCGATCTCGACTCCCTACCGACGCGGCCCGAGCCGACGCACATCAATGATTTGTGCCTTCTCGTCGAGGCCCTTTTGGACGCTCGGGCGACTCGCGCCCCCCCCCCCCGTCCGGGTCCAGGGGAGGGGGCAGGGGGAGGGCCAAACCCTGTCCTGAAGGGGAAGAAGGGGGGGTGGACGAGGCAAAGCTCCAAACCATTCACGTCCTAAAAGGCTGGTGGGATTTCCAGATTTGATGCTGCCCCGTCCTGGCTCCCCCGAGGACCTGGGCTCCGTCCGGTCCTGCGCGCTCTCGGCCCTGCGGCGGCGTTCCGACCTCGCCGTCCTCGACGTCGGGGGCTCGTCTCTGGCGAGGCTCTCCCGATTGGCCCCCAAGGGGGGATGGGGGGTGGGTGGGGCCACGAGAAGGGGCAGGATGGAGAGGAATGTGCAGGAAGACGTTGGAGATGGAAAGGGGGGGCTGTGGAGGAGGAGGAGGAGGAGGAGGAGGAGGAGGAGGAGGAGGAGGAGAACCAGTGCACACCGAAGACTCATCAACGATGTTGGGATAAACCCTTCCTCCAGGCCCCCTCTTCACAGGTCCCTACAGGGATACATTTCCACTTGGGAAGTGCCCCGTTGGGAGACACCCGTTTGCAGATCCTGAAACGTGCCAAGACACCATTTTCGGGACGTCCAGCGCCACGAGTCAACCTGACTGTTGCGTTTTGACGATCCTGAACCATGCCAGAACATCCACCGAGAATCAAGGTAACCGCTGCACCCTAACCATCCAGAAAATTTTCAAAACGGCATTTCTGGTGTATCCGTGAAGCTTCAACACTTGCTTAAACGAATGCGCGCGGCGCTCAGGCGAGAACCACATGTTGAAAACCACCCGCCCTCAATATGCGAAACTCTGGCAAATTTGTAAGACGAGTGCGCGGGGCGCTAAGGCAGGAGCCACATGTTTAAATACCACCCGCCCTCCATTTGTGAAGCTGTTGCCAATTTTCAAGCTTCCGGGTCAGAAATGGGAGGGAAGTCTCAGGCGAGACGCCTGGCCCGCCTTTCCGATTGGCCTCTGGGTGCGACAGGGAGGAGATATTTATGAGGATAAGGAGAGGAGGAGGAGGAGGAGGAGGAGGAGGAGGAGGAGGAGGAGGAGGAGGAGGAGGAGGAGGAGGAGGAGGAGGAGGAGGGCATGCCATTGCTTCGCATTGAACTGTACTTATTGACATTGCTTGGCGTTGTTTTGCTTGGCATTGCCTGGCATGGTTTGGCATTGCTTGTCGTTGCTTGGCATTGCTTGGCATTGCGTGGCTTTGCTTGCCGCCGCTTGGAAAGAAGACCAAGCAACCCACGGAAGGCCTCTTCGATACCACGGGGGAAACAAGACCAAGCAATCCGTGGAAGACCTCGTCAAAAGCAGCACGGAAGCAAGACCAAGCAACCAGGGTAAGGCTTCTTCACGACCGCTGAGGAAGATGAGGAAGCAAGACCAGGCAAGCCCAGTGGGGAAGCCCTCCCCTAAATCAGCAAGGACGCAAGGCTGAGCTACCCCAGGGAATGCCTCTTCAAAAACGGCAAGGGCACCAGACCGAGCAACCCTGGAGAAGGCTGGCCAGCCAGGCCCCCCGCCCCTCCGCTTCCCGCAAACGGGCACAAGATGATAGGCAACGCTTGCTCCGGGGGGGGGAACAAAGAAACAACGGCGGCCGGCGCCCGAAGGCCGGGCGCCCAGAAGTTGCCAGATGATTGCCCCCACTTCCTCCTCTTCCTCCTCCTCCTCATCCTCCTCCTCCTCCTCCTGCCCCCGCTCCTGCCGCCAAGGAGTGAATAGTGCGGCCAGCGTTGGCAGCACAGGCTTCTGGTGGCGACTTACGCAGATGGCACCCCAGAGGACCAGGAGAAAACGAATTCCGAGTCACCCGAAGGCTCGGACCTCGCATGGATTGCTTGCACGAGAGGGCCCTCGTCCTCCACGCGACGAGGGGCACCCACCGCTCTCGCCAGCCGCCCGCCTGGCTTCGGGCCCTCCGCCTTGTGAGGGAACGAAGCCAGCGCAGCACAAACAGGGGTCGCAGCGACCTCCCTTGGCCCAGCAGCGCCCTCGGCGGGCACGACACACGACGGCTGGACGACTGGGTACTCTGGGCCGAGGAACCAGAGGCAGACGCACCGTGCCCCGACACAGGTCCGAGTCTAACTGGTGCCCGCTGGCAATCGCACGGTCACGCGACCATGCAGCTCTACAACTCATTCCGCGGATACAGCCCTTCTCGAGAGCTGTGTACTTGCTCGATCGAAGTGCAGCCCCGACGATGTCGCAGCACAATGGGAAGAGGAGGCGGAGGAAGAGGAGGAGAAGGACCAGTGTAAACCCAAGAGTCACCAACAATGCTGGCATAAACCTCCCTCCAAGCTCCTTCTTCATAGGCCCCTACAAGGGTTCATGTCCACTGAGGGAACTGCCTCGTTGGAAGACAACCGTTTGAAGACCCTGAAGCCTGCCAAATCATTATTCTCTGGACTCCAACGCCACGGATAAACCTGACTGTTGCGCCTTGGCGATCCTGAATCGTGCCAGAAAGCCACCCCTAGGACGTGAACACCGCGAACCAGCGCACTTGTTGCACCCTCATAAGTCTTGAACCTTTCCAAAACACCATGGCTGGTACGCTGCCCATGGGAATTCGTGAAATCCTTGCAGCTTTTGAAAGGGACATGCGCGGCAATAATGCCAGACCTACATTTTGAAAACGAGCCGCCCTCAATCCGTGAAGCTCTTCTAGTTCCCAACCATCCTGTGGTGTTGGGTCCTCGTTTCGGAGAGACAGCGCCCCGCGTTCCTCCTCCTCCCGCTGCCCCCTCCCTCCTCATCTCATCATAATCAGCATCATCATAATCATCATCATCATCATCATCAGCAGCAGCAGCAGCAGCATCATCAGCATCAGCATCAGCATCAGCATCAGCATCAGCATCAGCATCAGCATCATCATCATCATCATCGTCATCATCATCATCATCAGCATCATCATCATCAGCATCAGCATCAGCATCAGCATCAGCATCAGCATCATCAGCATCACCATCATCATCAGCCGCATGCGTCTCCCACGCCCAGGACAGTGTTTCATGGTCCCACCGAAGGCCCCAGTGGGGGTGGCCTCATGCGTCTCTCACGCCCAGGAGCGCGTTCCGTGGCCCCATAGGGAGCTCCACCGAAAGCCCCAGTGGGGGTGGCCGCATGCGTCTCCCACGCCCAGGACAGCGTTTCGTGGCCCCGTAAGGAGCTCCACCGAGGGCCCCAGTGTGGGTGGCCGCATGCGTCTCCCACACTCTCAGGACAGCGTTCCGTGGCCCCATAGGGAGCTCCACCGAAGGCCCCAGTGGGGGTGGCCGCATGCGTCTCCCACGCCTGGGACAGCGTGCCGTGGCCCCATAGGGAGCTCCACCGAGGGCCCCAGTGTGGGTGGCCGCACGCGTCTCCCACGCTTGGGACAGCGCTTCGTGGCCCCATAGGGAGCTCCACCGAAGGCCCCAGGTGGGGTGGCCGCATGCGTTTCCCACGCCCAGCACAGCGCTTCGTGGCTCCATAGGGAGCTCCACCGAGGGCCCCAGTGGCTGCGCAGATTTTCGTGGCCCCACATGGAGCTCCACCTTGGGCTGCAGTGGCGGTGCCCACGTGCGTCTCTCCTCACCCAGCACAGCGTGTCGTGCCCCCATAAAGGGGGGGTCGACCGAAGGTCCCAGCCGCGCAGCCCGCACGTGTCTTCCCCGCCCGGGGACACCACCGAGGACAATATTCACAATTGCGGTATTCTCAGCTGCATATGGTTGGGTCCTTCGCCAGGCTAATTCTTGAAAGCGAAAGTGCGCGGCGCTGAGGCGAAAGCCACACTTTGAAAACGAACCGCCCTCATTCCGTGTTTGTGTTGCATGGTCTGACAACGATTCTGCGCGGCACTGAGGCGAGAACCACATTTTGAAAACGGCGGCCCTCCATTTGTGAAACTGTTGCCAATGTTTAAGCTTCAGGGTCATACATTGTAAGGAAGTCTCAGGCAAAACGCCCGGCCCGCCCTTTCGACCGGCTTCGGGGTGCGACAGGGAGAAGTTATTCATAAGGGAAAGGAAAGGATGAGGAAGAGGAACGGTAGGGGGAGGGGGAGAGGAGGGGGGAGTGGAAGGGGAAGGGGGAGGGGGAAGGGGAGGGGGAGGGAGAAGCGGAGGAGGAGGAGGAGGAGGAGGAGGAGGAGGAGGAGGAGGAGGAAGAAGAGCCACCTTCTGGCGGCGTTCCAGCCTAGGGCGTTCGTGGCCCCGATGGGGCTCTCTTTGAGGCTGAACCCTGTCTGGATTGCCGAACTTGAGTGGAGTAGATTTGCATGGTGCCCACGATGAGTGCGAGATCGGACTTGTGGCGTGAGTGCGGTCGCAGCAGTATTTGTAGGAGGAGGAGGAGGACCACGATCGTCAACTCCGAGATCAGAGGAGCACGAGGTCTTGGTAATATCCACACGCTCCATGATCTCCCCTGTCGTTCTGCACGGGCTCCAGAGAGACGAGTGCCGCCACGTGCTCATGAACGGCTGGAACGTAGACTTAGCTGATTGCATCATGACATCGTTCTTTGGTTTGCATCTTCGGGCCCCCTGTATTCCGACGTGGGTTCGACGCGGCTTCGACGTGAATTTGATGTGGATCCGGTACGGATTCGACACATATTCGATACGGACTCGACGCGCTCAACACGGATTCGACGCAGATCGCGGCGAGACGGGACAGACAAGGTTCCCCCGTAAATTCCACATAGCCTTCTCGTCCTACGAGAGGTGCCGCCACCTGAGATTTTTGTTCACGTCGCAGCGCGGCAGAGGCAAGCCGCTCGCGCGCTCAGTGGGTCGGGCTAAGACACGGCACTAATTATCGAACGAACCGCAAGAGGGGGGAAGGGGGGAGGAGGGCGACTGCGAAGGGCGAGAAGGAGAGGAGGAGATACACGGCGCGAAGAGCACCGTGGGCGGCCGGTGCGGCCAGCCGGTGCGGCCGCCACCCGAGACATCCGACGTCGTGTTTTTGCTGTCACGACGTGGGTCCCCATAGGTCCTTGGACCCTTCGCCAGGCTCGGCCTTGCGTCTCGAGGTTTTGTGCTTCGGTCCCGAGGCCCGTTGAGGGCCTCTTGAGGCCAGCAGTCTCCAATCGGCGGCGAGCGAAGGGGGCGAAGCGAGAAGGAGAGGGCCCTCTCAGAAGGCGGCGGGCCTTTTGAGAGGTTGGGAAAGGCTTCGAAAATTTCTTCGAGTGCCAGGGGTCTTTGTGAGCCTTCCGAGACGGCCCATCCTCGCGATGTGAAAAAAAGGCGTGCTGCCCATCTTTCACAGCGCGAGGGTGGGATGACCGCGTCCATCCTGGGAGGCGCCGCGGCCTGGAGCCCCCCATGGGCAAGTCGCTGTCGGAGAACCCGGGGGGCTCGTCCCTGGCGAGGCGCCGCGGCCTCGGCCTCGGCCTCGAGGTGCCCATGTGCAAGTCGTTCTCGGAGTAGCGCGGGCTGACTCCGGGAGGTTTACGAGCGCGGGGCTATTTCCCCCCTCACCCCCTTCCCTCGCTCCTCCTCCTCCTCATTTCTCTCTTTCTCCTCCTCCTCTCCCCCCGACGCCTATGTCCTGCGGCCAAAGAGGCGGGGAAGCTGCCATCCGAGAGGCAGTTGTGGAGCCGCTGGCAAGGGGTCTTGTGCGTCTCGTCGTCGTCGTCGCCGTCCGTCGCCGTCGTCGTCGCCAAGGAAGTCTTTTCGACCCGAGGTCGAATAAGCCGTCTTGGTTTTGTTCCTCCTGTATTCTACCCGCCGTCGAATCAATTCTGCTCCTGGCGTCTTCTACCCAGACCCATGGGATAACAAGCGTGCAGGGAATATGCTGTTTCGGAGACGGAACTTTGTATGTCGTTTGTGCATGGCCGTCATCAGGAGCCATTTCGAGAAGCGCGCGCACCCCCGTCCCTCTCGCCCCCCCCCCCCCCAGGTGAGGACCGCGTTTGGGCCTCACCCGTGAGGGCCGCCAATAGGCCTCACACCCCGCGCAGCTTCCATCATCGGGGGCCGTGTGGGCTCCCCCCCACACTTATACACGACGGCGTCAATTAGCCACAGGAGGAGGCCGAGGACTCCTCTGGGAAGCCTCGGCCAACGAAGACGTCTTTAGAGGAGGGCCCAACGTACTCCCACACCTTTAAAGCTTTCCATTATGTCGTCAATTGCCACCCGCGCGGTGTCCCTCATCCATTCCTCCTTCTCTTCCTCCCCCTCCTCCTCCTCCCTTCCACTCATCCTCCATCCTCCCCCCTTCTCCTTCCGCTCCTCCTCCTCCTCCTCCTCCTCCTCCTCCTCCTCCTCCTCCTCCTCCTCCTAAGGCGGCCCAAAGCCATGTTACCTCAAGCCCTCCTCTATCTCTCCCTCTTCCCTTCTCCTCCTTCTCCTCCCCCATACTCCTCCCTCCTCGTTCTTCCCCTCCCTCCCTCCCCTCCTTCGCTCCCCCTTCTGCGCTGCGCCAGCAACACGTGAGATGCCAGGCTCGTCGTGCCAACTCTCTCTCCTCCCCATTATCCTCCCCCGCCTCCCGCTTACGCGGGGAGGCGCGAGCGGGGGGTGCGGGGGGGGGAGGGGGGCGGGGCCTCTCCGCAGCGCAGCTGGCGTCACGACGCGCAGCTGGAGACCGCCAGGCAGGCCATGGCGGTCTTCCGCGTCACACCGCGGCGATTTATCGGCGATCTACCGCCGATTTCAGGTCGGCTTTCCTCCTGTGCCAGTTCCCCTGTTAACG